CTCACGAACACTAAAATCCAACATCCATATATAATAATCAAAAAGAAGAAGAACCAAATAGGTATCGCGATATAACAAATACTTAAAAAGGTAGCGCGCGGTCTCACACACACTTTTGTGCATCTGGAGAACTCTATAGAGATCTCCAAGCGCAATCTCACGAACACTAAAATCCAACATCCATATATAAAAATGAAGAAGAAGAAGAACAAAAATGGTATCGCGATATAACCACTACTTAAAAAGGTAGCGCGCGGTCTCACGCACACTTTTGTGCATCTGGAGAACTCTATAGGTAAAAAGTGAAGTCGATTTTCCACCCCCCATACGATCGAAGACGGCTTGCCCTCTTGCGGTGAGTGCTGTCAGAAGCAATACGAAACCGAGAGAGAAATCACTATGTGGTGTGCTGAATCGAAAATACGTTTTCTTAAAAAAAAAAAACTTAACAATCTGTTAATACTCGAAAAGTTGCCAATGCCTTGAAATACACATATTACATTAATACACATGAAATGCATTAAAATTTCAATTCTATTTAAATGCACAAAATAACTTATTTTAGGCAAATACGCCACTAATATGTCAATGCATCAATAAATCAGTAATGCTTTTTGTAATACAGTAATCGAGACTTCGATACACGTTAATACGCTTTGAATTGTCATAAGATTTTCCTGCGAGTTTTTAAAGTGAATGAACCGTGTCCTCCTTTCGGATCTGTAGAACTATCTGGCAGGAATGAATTCAACTGCTGCGGGTGCCGGACAGCGAGACAATGTTGATCACTCTACGACGATCAATTCAGAATCCCTTTCGTCGGTTGTCGCCGATCAGGACAAATTTGACGCCCTAGTGGAACATTTACCCAACATCGAAAGCGATGAAAACAAGAAGCAACAACTCAAGGAAACCCTATCCCATGTTTTCCAATGTCCTGCAATAGGGACAGCTGGGACCGGTCGTATCGCAATTTCATCTGAACACGATAGCCGTGACAGCAGCCAAGAGTGGCGATTTGAAACAGTTCATGAAAGCTTTGGAGAATGCCCACAAAAAGAACACCGACAAGAACCGAACAAGAGCAAACCGTCATCCGCGGAGAGCGCCGAAACCGCTAGCGAGGAAGAGTATGGCACCACGGCAGCCAAAACCGAGAAAAAGGATGATGATTAAATGACAGGATAGATTCAAACAAACCGTTTTCCGAGGGAACCCGTTTTTTTTTTGTGTGCGTACACTTGAAATCTGGTACGAAATATTTTACTCTATGCTGCTAATGAACCTCAATCCAGAACCATAGGGGAACTATCCGTACCTACCGGAATGAGGCAGACATAGAGCTAAAAATTTGCTTAGAAATAAGTATCGATACTTTTTTTAGGAAAACGTCGTAAATTTGAATAATCATGCTAGCCGGTGCCAATACCCATACTAGTAACTTTGTACTATTCGCACCCGATTTTATCCTTTCTGCATTGAACCATTTCAATCAACTGTTTCTTTGAAGGAAGACAAAAAAAATAATCGAAAGCTGTGTAAACCTATAAATGAATCAACACGCGCTTGTCCTAAAAAAAAAGTGCAGCAGGCAGAACAGTAAACAATATCACACAGGCATAATTACTAATTCAAGAATAGCATGTGAAAAGGGCATACAAGCTTTTTGTAAACAAACCATCTTATACCCTTTTCTCGCCACCCATATGACACCAACGCAAACCATCAACATCACCGGATAGGGGAAGCTTTCCCCTTCCCGATGATGTTGTTAGTTTGCGTGGGTGACCCTCTGTTGGCGAGAAGAAAGAGTTTGTGCACAAAAAGCTTGTATGCCCTTTTCACATGTGGCGCTTGAATTTTATTATTGACCAACGATTATATGGATGAAAGCGAAAATTCCCGTGCAAACACTGCGGAATCCGAGGTTACGAGTTCTTTGTTTGCAATTGTGAAAGAAAGCGATTATTAGGAATCGTTCGAAAAAACTGAAGATATGGGTGGACAAATTTTCGGTAGTAGCAGTACCCTACTGTGTTACCTGACTTATGACAAATATAATATGTATACGAGTACCCCAAATACAACTATAGTTCGTCTAATTTTACATTGCAAATGCTATGCAAAATTAGACGAGTCATTTATTTATTCAGCCGGAGAGCGAAAGAGACGACAAATTTACTAGGTCTCACCTGTTTACGCCAGGCCAGTGACAAGGCCTATACCAACAGCAGCGTTTGACAGTAGGCAACATGTCCCGGGCTCAAATCATTTATTTTGCTGTGCTGGGCCCGCTGTCACTGTATAACATGTTGCCTACGCGCCTGCCACTAGGCTGGTTTACGCTCATTGATTTTCCATGCGTGAATTTGGTTCCAAATATCAACAAAGCATCGTTGCTTATGGCTTTGTTGTCGTTTGGAACCAGTTATGCGAGGTAGGCAACGATTGTTTATATTTGACAGGTTTCGGAACGTCCATCATTTTCGCAATCTTAGGGGAAGTTCTCAAGACCGCCTACGACAGTGGTCTGCTCACCGAGATAGTATCACTCGACATATCGAAGGCGACTGAGGTCTTAACGGACCCATCGTTCACTTCATCCAGAACTTCTTGTCCAACCGCTCATTCCGAGTCGCAGTCGGCAACACCAAATTCCGGCTTTTCCCCGAGGAAACGGGTATCCCACAAGGATCGGTTATCGCCTTTACCCTGTTCCTCGCGGCGATGAACGGAGTCTTCCGTCAACTACCGAAAAACATATATGTCTACGCCGACGACATTCTCAAGCGGCAGTCTCCGCCGTCGCCAGGTGGGCCCATTCAGCAGGCTTTGAAGTATCAGTCTCTAAAAGCATCAGGTGCCATGCCTGCCCTTCTCGACACAGAATTAGCAGACCACCGATCAAAATCGACGTCCATACCATACCATACAGTTCTGGGAGTTCTCGTTGACCGATTCCTCAACGTTGAACAGCATTTCAGTGCAGTCAAGAAAAATTGGCGCAGCCGAGTGAATCTCATCCGGACCATTTCCCGATAGAATAGATCAAACAACAGTCGTTTTCTATACGGGTTGGAGATGACCTGCATCGCAACGGATAAGCTTATAGCTACGTTAGCACCAGTCTACAACACCTACGTCCGGATTGTCTCTGGCCTGCTGCAATCCACGCTCGCTGACGCTGCTTTCATCTCGAAGACATCCGGAAATCAAGGGATCTTCCTCCTCGAAGAGGGGAACAGACTCCTCCGCACGGCTGCCAACGAAGATCTCCCCCCAGTGGCCAGGGTCCACTGGCATGGAGACAAATGCTGGCAAACACCATTACCGAAAATAGAAAGCCGGATTAAGGACAGGAAAATCAAAGCCGGAGACAATTCCGTGGCCATGAAAAGGGCTATAGCTGAAATGTTATGAGAAATATACCCCACGCACACTCACCGATACACGGACGGATGTCGCTCTCGGGCCGAGGTCGGCATCGGTCTAGCCGGAAACATCACACCAACTAGCTGCAGCTTACCGCCGTAATGTTCTGTCTTCTCTGCTGAAGCTGCTGCCATCTGCATCGCTGCTACAATGCTTTCCGACCGACCGATCCTGGCCCTCACGGATTCGCACAGCGTCATACAAGCCCTGACGTCCGAGACCCCGACTCATCTCTGGGTGCAGGCGACGATGAAGTCCGCGCCACCAAACACGATATTCTGCTGGGTTCCGGGACACTGCGGAATACCAGGCAACTCTGAATCTGACTTTCTGGAGCATCAGCCCTTCGCTATACCAACGAAGAACCGTTACACGATGTCAAGCGCTGGATAATGAGCAAAGTACGGGAAGCTTGGGACGCAGAGTGGGCCCAAAACCGCTCCCTCTCAGACGGATCAAAGGGACGACGAGGAAATAGACAGAACAGTTGAATCATAGGATCAGAAGATAGCGTCGCGTTTGAGGACCGGTCACACCAAGATCTCGCACAATTTCGGTGGAACGCCGTTCCACAGGACTTGCGTCTGTTGTAAAACTCCAGCCTCAATCGAGCACATTCTATGCGTATGCCCTCAGTATCAGAACCTGCGGGAATTCCACGGGCTTCCAAATAGCATACGTGACATTCTGGGTGATGATCGATCCCTCCACACTGGCAGCAGTAATGCGCTTTTTAAAGGATGCTGCATTGTATTTTAAAGTTTAGTCTTTTTTTAATTTCTTTCGGCTGTTGGGACATCTCTGCCCGGTGGTGTGGAGCTCTGTCTTATTCAGATTTTAATGTTGAGTCTTTAATATGTTGTGTAAATGTACGATCGAGCCTGGAACCAATTTTCGGTTGAAGTAAACACTAAAAATCTAAAAAATAATGTTTAAAAAAAATCCGGTGTTTGACCCTAGGGCCTAAATCAAATTTTAACTGAATTTTCATGGCGAAATATATGTTCTATAGTGGAGGTACGTTAGTGAAATATGTTCCTATATATATATAACCACTAAAGGAACACAGTGCACTAACGTAGTTCCACTATTGGTGCGTTTACCCTACTTGTATCGAAATAAATTCTGTAAAGAATGAAAAAAATGTGGCCCCCTTATCCATGGTAGTTAGTCCAACAAACAGCAAATGCATGATAAACGACCGTAATAGACACCTGACGCTCCAGTCAACAAGTTTATGCCCCTAATCATGGTACTAAAGTGCAATAACACAAAACAAACAAGCCCATCTACTGTGTCACTCCATCACCGTCTATCTATAGCCAAATTCAAACAGCAAAGCGAACAGGCCATCACTCATTTCGCCAAATATGTATAGGGTCCATGCATTAATTATGTCACGCTAAATCGAGGAAAAATTTACCCCCCCCCCCCTTTCACCCTATCGTGATGTTTTTCCTATACCTAATGCATTGCTTGTCACAAAATCTTAGACCCCTCCCCCTTAGAGCGTGACATAATATATGCATTAACCCTAATGAATACAATCCACGTTATCTACCACACAGGCCAATTGCCGGTTATACAAGAACCGTATTTGAAGATACGCCGGTCATGCAACCCTATCTGCTGGGCGTTATCGTCAGCGATTTCGTTTCCGTATCATCTGTGCAGTATCCCCGCCAGGGAGTGTTTGCTCGGTACAATTCCATTAGAAATGGGGAAGCCAATTTCATTCTCGAAGCCGGATACAAAATTCTCAAGGTGTTGGAAAGCTATCTGGAAACGGACTTTGCCCTTCCGAAGATCTACCAGGTTGCCGTTCCGGATTTTGCCGCTGGAGCAATGGAAAACTATGGATTGGTATGCTTTGAAACGATTGATCTTTAAAACACAGTAAACAGCACAAATATTCTTCCGTAGGTTACCTACAAGGAGGAAAAATTCTTCTACGACAGCCGATCATCGCCACTGAAACAGAAGCATGAGATAGCAACGGTAGTTGGACACGAGTACGGTCATCAGTTCTTCGGCAACATGGTTTCCCCCGCTTGGTGGAGTTACCTTTGGATGAAAGAAGGATTCGCCAGATACTTCGAATACCTAGCGTCGGATATTGCCTACCCAGAGTTGCGCATCCGCGAAACCTATTCCGTCCAAAAAATGCAAAACGCATTCGATCTGGATTCACTAGGCTCCTCTCGGCCCATGACATTCTACGTAAACACTCAGACTGAAATAGCCAACGTTTTTGATAATATTGCGTATGATAAAGGTAGCTTATGCTGCTTAGAATGATATTATACAGCAGGTAATAATGTTTCGATCATCAACAGGTGGCTCCATCATGCGAATGTTCCAGCACGCTTTTGGACCGGAAATCTTCCGTCAAGGGTTGATCAACTATCTACGGGCTAAGGCATTTCAAGGAGCGTATCCAGAAGATTTCGCCGATGCTATCCAGCGAGCAATAGACAATTCCACCAACATAGCACTCCCGTCGACCATTACCGTTCTGGACATCCTCAAGTCGTGGACCGAACAGAGCGGATACCCAGTTTTACATGTATCCAGAGGTCTCGATCTACGAGTGTCACTCGTGCAGGATCGCTATCTGCTGAAAACCATCGATACAACGGAAGCATCCTGGATTCTGCCCTACAACTTTGCCACAACTAAAAATCCCAATTTCAATACGACCACTGATACGAGGTGGCTTCTCACCAACAGTACCATCCTGGCAGCCGAAGGGTGGTCCGCATATGATTGGATAATCTTCAATAAACAACAAACTGCCTATTACCGGGTAAACTATGACGAACGATTATGGAATCTCATTATCGAGCAGCTACTGCGGAACCCTACCGTCATCAATAACATCAATCGTGCTCAGCTGGTAGACGATGTATTGAATTTGGCACAATCTGGTCGATTGGGTTACGACACGGCTCTTAGATTGGTGTCGTTTCTCACGAGGGAACGAGACTATGTTCCTTGGGCCGCTGCTAATAATAACCTAAACGTATTGACGCGTCTGTTTGCGGCTTCATCGAAGATGGAATATCTGAAGAGATATCTATTGAGTGTGATCAATCCAGTTTTCGTAGAACTTGGACTGGTTACGAAAACGAGCGATGATCTCTTTGCTAGGCAGACTAGGGAGATTGTGGCAGCATGGGCATGCAAGATGGGATCTCAGGATTGTCTACGCATGGCGTCTGAGATTGTGCGCGAATCTGTTGGACCTAACAATATGCAAATCGATCCTGATGTTCGAAGCGCCGTGTATTGCGCCGGACTGGTGAATGCTAGTGAAAATGTATTCCTGGCAGTTTGGACCAGAATGCAGTCATCCAAGGATCAATCGTTTAGAACGGACCTGATCTACGCTCTCGGATGTACGGAAAGCGTAAACCTGATGCAGCTATTCTTAAACACTTCAATCGCCGACGAATCCGTCGGAGTAAACTACTTTGGACAGGAGCGGGAGCGAGTCTTCGCTGCTGTCTACAGAAGTAGCAGGAAAGGAATGGAAGTAGCGCTCAAGTTCTTCATGGACAACATGATGGAGATAAATGTGTTGTAAGTAAATTGTTATGGTCAAGTTTGTATCAAGTTTGGTTAACTGAATATTTGCAGATACAACAAGGGGAACTTTGGTGGACGCGCCATAGGAAGTGCAGTTACAAATTTGGCTAAGTATATCGTTGACTTTGAGTTGAATACTCAATTCCAAGAATTGATTGAAAAACTATCGGAAGCTGGTCTGCTGCGAGACACCGACATTCTCCGAGCTTTGGAACAATCCAGTGAAAATCTACAGTGGGTTCAGTCCAGAGGCAAAAGCATCGAAGATTGGTTAGAAATGCGTTATCCAACATCAACGGCACCACCTCCTACGACAACGGAGATGCAAACGACTACTACTACTACTGCTGCAACTACTACTACTACTATTACTGCTGCAACTACTACTACTACTATGCCTAAAACTACAACGCGGCCAGAAACAACAACAACAACCACGATGAGTTCAACAACGCCGACTACTACAACGGCATCAATAACCAGTACCACAACAGCACAAGAAAGCACTACAGCTGAAGCCTTAATAGAATCTACAACCGAACACGGTGCAGGAGCCCATGGCCAGATAACAGTAGCACTACTGATGGCTTCCATATTGTTTAGCTTTATGTGAGAAATATCATGAATTCAGGCAATGCGATGCTTGTACATCATAAACTTATGCGCGAATATCTGAATAAAATGCAGAAGTCGACGATTAAAACGTTTAAGCAAATTGTAAAAATAAAATCTGAAACCTTGAGAACGCCGAATAGCGAAAAAAATAAACAAACTTTGGATTGTACCCCTTAGAATTCCATGAAACTTCGCCTAATACCACAGACAGATATACAAATTAGTACCGTCATTTAATCTAGTACCTCAAAACGTACAATTTGTGGTACTAGCTTAAAGCAGTACAACCAACAATCAATACGAAACTAACGATTTGAAATTGGCTCACTACTTGACTAGCCTATTGGTCCCAAGCAAACGATTAACGTACCCCATTCTAGTCTAAATTCTAGTACTACGAAATGTTTGTTTTGATTCACTATGAAAGTTTGACAGATAAAATGAGGGGTTATTGGTTTTCCCTAGGTTTCGAGGGGTGATTCGATTAGCTTGGCACCGAAGAGAGTACCAGAGCTGAGCCAAAAAGTTGAGCACGTTTTGTCGGGACCTTCTAGTCTTAGAGAAACAATGGTACAACGGTAGTACAACAGTGAACTTTGTATGTCTGTACAAGGTATAATTGTTCGCAATGATCCCAAGTTTATGCTGGAGTTTGGCCATTTTGACCCACGCCTAAATTTTAAAATGGCGATATTTTTCAATAAATCCATACACACTTTACCGAAATCTCAACAGTTTCCCGGTGATTTTTCACAGAATATCGGTGAAAAATCAACGAACTGCTTACCAAACGTTCAACTGTTGAGATTTCGGTAAAATTTCACATAAATCTTTGAAATAATCTTACGGTGCAGAACGAAAACGGCTCATCTGATCGAAATGACGTCTGAGACAAAGTTGTAGGAAGCTGGTTTGCCTTTTCAGAAAATCAAAGACACAACGAAAAAAACCATATATTCTCGTAAAAAAAAAATTTTTTTTAGTTTCCAAAACATATAGGGTAAACGCTCCTATAGTTGCGGTACGTTAGAAGCGTTAGGTTCCTATAGTTGTGTATGGAGACTCCATACACAACTATAGGAACCTAACGCTTCTAACGTACCGCAACTATAGGAGCGTTTCCCCTATCAATGCTTATCAACAATACTAACTTTTCTGAAATTCACACAATGGACGCTTCAAAATTGGCCGAAATCGTAGAATATCAACTTATAGTACATCAGTTGTCCCACAGCAGTCGATTTTTTATTATTTCGGTGTGAACGGTGAACGCCTGTTTTCGAGACTCGCTATAATATAGTTGCTCCATAGAGGTAACTCTAAGACTAGTAGGTCCCAAAGAAACGTGCTCAACCTTTTGGCTCAGCTCTGGTACTATCTTCGGTCCCAAGCTAATCGATGCACCCCTCGAAACATGGGAAAATCCACGAACCCCTCATTTTATCTGTCAAACTTTCATAAAGAATCAAAACAAACATAGTGTAGTACTAGAATTCCGACTAGAATGGGGTGCGTTAATCGATTTGCTTGGGACCAATAGGATAGTCAAGTAGTGAGCCAATTTCAAATCGATAGTTTCGTATTGATTGCTCTTTGTTCGTTGCTAGCAGTTCGGTGCCTTTTGTTGCTACGGTGCAAGATGTGTGAATTAAAAAACACTATCAAGTTTAGCTTCAGCCATGGTGATGCTAAACCAAACATCGGAGGGATTGTAAATTTCGCCAAAGCACTCGACGCGGATCCGGCTGAAATGGAAGCTGTTTATCGCATCGGTGAGGAAAGGGGAGTCTTCATGAAGTTCAAATCAGAGGAAGTGATGCTCCATGCTCTGACATACAATTCGGAGGATTGAATCTTCCATTATGCGAATGGAACGACGGCAAAGGTACGCATGCCGCATGCTGGTGAATTCATCCAATATGTGCGTACGTATGACTTGCCACCAGAGGTACCCGACAACAAGCAGGATAAAGTACTGGGGATATATGGAAAAATTAGAAGCATCATCCGGGAGAAATTTCCAACTGATCTGTGCTTTGAGGTATATACAGGGATACGCGGTTTATATATGGATGTGAAGAAGGAAATCCCCACGTCATTACATTTCTTCAATCGCAAAGGAAATATATTGTATGATGGCTGTGCAAGGCGTGTGTGTTTTCTATGCAAGGCGGACGGAAGTCGGAAGCTTTCCTGCCCCAAGCGGAAGGCTCGGAAGGAACCAGAGAAGCAACTTAAGGAAAAAGGAAAGCAGCAAAGTGAAAGAAAACAAAACAGCAGCAGTACGTACAACGGGTAGAAACTAACGGTTTTAAATTGGCTCACTGCTTGACTAGTATACATATTGGTCCCAAGCAAATCAATTAACGTACCCCATTCTAGTTGAATTTCTAGTACTACACTATGTTTGTTTTGATTCGCTATGAAAGTTTGACAGATGAAATGAGGGGTTCGTGGATTTTCCTTTGTTTTGAGGGGTGCATCGATTAGCTTGGAACCGAAGATAGTATCAGAGATGAGCCAAAAAGTGGAGCACACTTCTCCGGGACCTTCTGGTCTTTGAGTTACCTCTATGGTACGTATGCTGGTGTAGTGCTGGAGGTTGCGTCGTTAGTCATTAGCGACCAGGAAACGGGCACGGGGTTGGAGATGTTGGAAAATCCTATAATAAAATCGAGGGGGGCGACTCTATCACGCTGAGTAGATAGAAAGAAGATTGATGACGATTCTGAAGATTTCCTGCAAAAAGATGATTCGCGATGCAAGTAGATGCGAGAAATTAAAGAAGATTTTTCGTAGATTGATTTGCTAGCGTGAGATTTTTCGAGCATCTAGAATTGCCCCCCTCGAATAATTTTCTTTTTTTTTTGTATTTTGAGTACCAAAATTGGTATTCCATGTTACTCGGCTCCGCTAAGTTATTTTTACAACATTTGAGACTACCAAATAAACGAAATAAAAAAAAAACGTTTAGTACAAATTTTGAACTTTTTTTCCACATATAATTGTTATTGTTTTTGAAGGGCACATATTTTTTGTCCATAAAATCGTTTCCAATCCATACATCACATTGCCCCTGGATTTTGAAAATAAAATCGATTCTTCATTTGGCATGGAATGGCTCTGTTGCTGTTTCCGAGCCTCGCTTGAAGCAGCAATTCATTCCGAATCACTAATTTGTTGATACTCTTATGGCGGTAAGTTCCATCGAGGATAATATCACAGACAAACAGACATAAGACTGACAATTTGTTCATCGAATGTTTTTAGTTGGTAGTACCGCCACCTGTGGCGCGCATAGTCAATAACCCTTGCATTTGACGTTTACACACTACCGCCATCTGTTCAGCGTACTACCCATCACAGTGTTGTTATTTTGTTGTTGTTTTACATCAACTTGCTGGATGAAGCCCCAACGATATTAACCTTATAAACTATAGTAAAAAAAAATACATAGACCATGCTAAAAAAACATGGATGAAAGTTTCGTTAGCTTCTCGAAAGTTCTGTGAACTTCTCTGAAAATAACTGAGCATCTCTGAAGTTCCGTAAAATTGTCTGAAAACACCTGAGCTTAACTGAAATGTCGTTAACATCTCTAAGGTACCGTGGGCTACTTTGAAGATCCGTGAGCGTCTTTAAAGTTCCTTGAGGTTCTTTCAATTTTTGTGCATGAACTGCTCTGAATTTTCGTAAACTTATCGACAGTTCCGTTTGCTTGTCGGAAGTTCCGTAAACTTGTCAGAAATTTCGGAAAATCAGTGAACTTGTTAAAAGTTTCGTGAAATTCTCGGAAAAGAAGAAGTTCAGAGAAATTCAGAGAAGTTCAGAGAACATCTGACAAGAAGCTCAAAGTAACTTCGAGGACAACTTTAGGGAACTTCCGACGAGAAATTCAGGGAACTTCCGAGGAGAAGTTTAGAGGACACCCGACAAGAATTCCGAGAAGAAGTTCTAAGAATACGTGAAGTTCAGAATACTTTCGATGAGATTTTTTGCAAATTTGCAGCTTTCTTGTTCAGAGAAGTACCGGTGGAAACTAACGATTTTAAATTGACTCACTACATGATTAACCTATTGGTCCCAAGCAAACGATTAACGTACCCCGAGGGGGGCGACACATCTAAATCTCAATTCTAGATGCTCGAAAAATCTCACACTAGCGAATCAATCTTCGGAAAATCTTCTGAATCAATTTGTCGCATCTACTTGCATCGTGCATCAATCTGCTTTCTATTTACTCAGCGTGCGCGCAGCTAGCCACAGCAAAACACAATCTTTCCTGCATCGTAGATAGAGTCGCCCCCTTCAACGTACCCCATTCTAGTCGGCGTTTCCTTAACCTCAATCTACCTGCGCACCAACTCTTAAAACATAAACAATTATCAAAATATTGCTTGCAATCGATAGATATTGAGTAAACTAGAAGATTAAATGTATTTTTCAACCTATTCGAGTATGAATATGGCATTAAATCTGGTATTGAAAGTTGGTGCACAGGTAAAAAGTGCGGTTACGCGACGCCACTACTACACTATGTTTGTTATGATTCGCTATGAAAGTTTGACAGATAAAATATGAGGGGTTCATGGATTTTCCTATGTTTCGAGGGGTGCATCGATTAGCTTGGGACCGAAGAGAGTGCCATGGCTGAGCCAAAAAGTTGAGTACGTTTCTTCGGGTCCTTCTAGTCTTAGAGTTACCTCCGAGGAGATGTTTAGGGAACTTCCGCCAATAAATTCAGAAAACTTCCGAGCAGAAGCACAAAGAAATTCCGAGGAGATGTTCAGAGAGCTCCTGACGAGACATTCTAAGAACTTCGGAAAAGAAATTCAGAGAGCTTCCGACGAAAAGTTCAAAGAATTTCCAAGGAAAGACATCTTTTGACTAGAAATTCAGAGATCTCTCGAGGAGAAGTTCCGAGATTAAATTCAGAGAACTTCCGAAAAGAGTCTCAGAGAAGGTTTCAAAACATCTAGGCGGAAGTTCTCTGAACCTCTCATTGGAAATTATTTGAACTTTTCATCGCAAGTCCTCTGAACTTCTCGTCAGTAGTTCTATGAACTTCTCGTTG